GGTTCAAAGATACTCCCTCCGTCCTAAAATTAACTTCCCAGTTTGACTTTTGTAGTCAAACTTTTTAAACTTTGACTGTATATTACGGAAAAAAAATATTGAATTTTCATATAAATTTATTAGCAATGGATTCATTTTGAAACATAGTTTTGAAATATATAATTTTTATAAAATATATTTATATAAAAATTGAGATATTGATGGTCAAAGTGTCGCATCGGAGACCGTGAAAAGTCAAATGAGAAGTTAATTTTAGAACGGAGGGAGTAAATTCTAAGTTAGTAGAATAAAGAACTTTATGATTCTTATCAACTTTGAAATTGAACAAGATTGTATCAGAATTTGCAGTAGAAGAAAGTGGGTAGTAAGTAGTAACGGGAATCAATTTACACATCACCAAATGGTCAGCCCCAATTCCTACAGATAAAGAGAATCCTTGTATCCCTATTTGGACTACGTTCAAATATGTGCCATTCCACCTCCTAGACCCTAGAGCTCTTAGTGTCCTGGGCAAGGGAATTGGCTGTGTCCTTTGAAGGTGGAGGAGAGGACACTAAAGGGAGAATACTGGCGAACAGCTATACTTCTATTGGATATTGATATCTATGTTAAGCAGTATGAATCTATTAATGTGAATTATGAAGGTATTAGCATTTCCATGCCAGTTAGCTATGAAGATATCCCAAAATTTTGTTGCAAATGTAAAAGGCTTGGCCATCAATGCATAAGTGCTGTCACTCCAGAGGCCAGAAACCCTGCTGGTAAAATTCCCACCGGTGGGGGGAGGAATAACGAGGGTAAGAAGGTCAGTTTCAGTGATGGGGATGAGGACTGGCAATTAGTCCAGAATAGGGAAAAGAACAAAGGAAAGCATCCACAGAACTTAGGGTCCACTAAAACATGGAAAAGGGTGGAATGTCCTGGTGATGCTAATTTGAGAAAGGGTAAGGATATTCAAACAAAACATACCCTCAAAGTTATGACTACCAATCATATCCCACTAAAAAGTGGAGACCCCACTACAGCTATCACTGACCCCAGCACTAGTTATGGAGGGGTAAATACTGAAACAATGAAAGTGGAGGATATTACTCACCTCTTTTACGGTAAACGGACTAATGTTATCAATAATGATGGTCCAGTCATACAGAATGCTACAACTGTAGTAAGAAAAACAAGAGAGCCAGGAGTAGATCTCATTGACCTCTCAAGTCAGAGTGCTGATAAAACAACTGCAGTGATGGAATAATGGTACTCAAGAAGACTTTTTTTATTGTGTGGAGGATGAACAGGTAGTAGAAACACTAGAGATAACAGGTCCCTACCATTTTAAGAGCAAGGACAACTATGTCAAGGGGAAAAATCTTTTTTATACTGAGGCAGTCCTCAAAAAATATTTGGGACTAAAAGACGCGGGCTTCCATCCTCATATGGACATTTATATGCAATCTGACAATGAAGGAAGTGAGTCTCATTCTGATAAACAGTTGGATCCAGTTTTGATTACCAAATGTGCTTCTACTCCAATGCAGCTCCCTAGAAATGGAAAAATAAGGTAGCAGCAGCTCCTACGACTATTCTAACTAGAAGCATGCAAGCAGCTCAAGCTCCCAAACAATGTGTTTCCCAATGATTTGCTTATCCTGGAATGTTTGTGGGGTCAAGAGCTCCTCAAATGGAATAATTGCTCTTATCAATTTGTACAAAATTGATTTTCTAGCTAATATTGAACCTATTGTTGAAGGTGGGAAGATTCAAAAATTTTCTATATCCTTTGGCTACAAGCAATCCCTTTCAGTTTTAGATAATAAATCTTGGTTGTTCTGGAAAAATGAAAGCATGGATCTGATTAACATTGAAAGAGATGACCAGTTTATTACCTCAGAGTTTCTAAGTAAAATTGATAACAAGACTATCCATATCTCTACAGTATATGGGAAACATAATGAGAAAGAAAGGGAGAACCTTTGGCATGCCCTCAGTACCCATAATCCCAACAATCATTTGTGGATTGTTGGAGGAGACTTTAATGCTGTAACTAGGTTGGAAGATCACAAAGGGAGTGATAGTCCTTCCATAAGGAGTATGACAGCCTTCCAAGATGCTATTAACTCTTGTGAGCTGAATGGTTTGGAACCCATAGCAGGGGGAACCTTCACCTGGTATGGAGTCAGAAGTTTGGGAAAGGTGTGGAGGAGATTGGAAAGAATCTTTGTTAACAATGAAGTTCTCTACAAATATACCAGTGTTTCTTTAAGCCATCTTAGTAAGAGCAGCTCAGATCACAAGACACTACTTCAATGCAAAACTGAGGTTTTTACAGGTGTGAAGCCATTTAGATTTCTGAATTGTTGGTGCTCACGTGAAGGATTCCAAGATGTGGTGAAAAGTAAATGGAACTCTTACAACACAGTTGGAGGAATGAAAGGTTTAGCAGATAAGCTTAGGCAACTTAAAGGAGATCTAAAGGAGTGGAATAAACCTACCTATGTTAACATCTTTGATAAAGTGAAGGAAGCTGAAGAAAAGGCTTTGGAAGCTCAAGCTACCTATGAGGATGACCCCTCTGAAGATCATAGAACACCCTCCAATCTAGCAAATGCTAGACTACTCTTGGCCTTCAAAGCTGAGACAGATTATTGATACCAAAAGGCTAATATTAACTGGTTGCAAATGGGAGATGCTAATACAAAATACTTCCATTCGTTTGTTAAGGGAAGAAGAGCAAAGTTAAAGATTGAGAGCATTAAGAGAGACAATGGACAGGGGATCACAGATGAAGAGGGAATAGCCAATAGTGCCATTGATTATTACTCGACTCTTTATAATGAAGGCCATGAACCAAGTCTCCAACCTATTCTTGATAATATACAAACTTTGGTGAACAATGAGGATAACCAGATGCTGAGTGAACTTCCAACCTTGGAGGAGGTGCAACAAGCTGATTGGGAGCTAAATGAGACCTCAGCAAGTGGACCAGATGGGTTCACAGGTAAGTTCTTCAAAGCTTTCTGGAATATTGTCAAGGATGACATGATGTAGGCTAGCTGTAAGTTTTTCCTAGAGATAAGAGTACCCCAGTCTTATGGCAGCACCTTACTTACTCTTATTCCTAAAAAGGAAAATGCTAATCATTGGAAGGACTACAGGCCAATAACCCTTTCCACATTTATGAGTAAGGTGAACACAAGAATCCTCGCAACTAGGCTCAGATCCATTCTACCTAAACTAATATCTCAGGAGCAAGCAGGGTTCCAAAAGGGCAAATCAACAGATGATCAAATTCTTTTGGCACAGGAACTAGCACACATGATAGTAAATGATGTAACAGGTGGGAATGTAATCATCAAATTAGACATTGCCAAGGGCTTCGACAAAGTTAGCTGGGGCTACCTTAGAGAAGTAATGAAGAAGATGGGCTTTAACCACAAGGTTATCAATCTTCTAATGGAAAATCTTGAAGCTACCAAGATATCTATTCTCGTCAATGGGGCCCCTCATGGTTTTTTTCAATATGAGTGGGGGGGGGGTCAAGCAAGGAAAATCTTTAACCTTCTCAATTATTAAACTAACAGAACAATGTATGGAATTTGATATAATAACTGCTTAAATATTGGGTTAAAGATTTGAATTACACTTATGCATTCTATGTGTTTGACATGTCCTTATCCATAGTAAGTTTGTGCATTTTGTGAGTGTTTTGTTTGTAAATCTAGCATTACCATTACCTAGAAGAGCAATGCTAGAGTCACAAACCAAATATTCACAAAATGCACAAACTTACCCAATATATAAAGTAATGGTTTTAAATAATGGTCTCAAATAATTACTGTAAAAAATAGAAACTTAAATACACAAGTAACCTTTGTGCATTTTGTGAGTGTTTTGTTTGTAAATCTAGAATTACTCTTAAAGAATGTAGAAAATCAAGCATTGATATATTCTTTTATTGTATTGAAAGGAGAAATTTTTCTATGCTCATACCATGTAATTTAGAATGCAGAATATTCTCATGCATAGGTGAATCAAGAAATCAGGGATGTTAGAGAATTCAACCCTTGATATATCGATTTGACTATGACTATACAAAATTACTCTATTAGTCGTACAAAATTCATTTTCTTTTTCTATTTTTTAAAATTGAGAAAAACTTTCTCTTAATTGAACACATAAAAACCATTCAAAATAAGAATCCATAGATGAAATACCAATTAAAAATATGCAATTTTCATCAATAATTAGTTGGAAACAACAATAAATTAATCTATTCAAGATTTAAAGCATTAAACATTTAAAATTTCAACTCTATCAAAGTATAGATACCTGTAGAAGTTGGAATGGCAGTTAGGTTGATGGCGGAGTTAGTGGCGGCAAGCCGTAGCCGCGATGGTGCGCAGACTCTGGCAGAGTTAGCGGCGGCAAGGCGTAGCCGCGATGGAGCGCAGATCCTGGTTCGAGTATGCTGATATCGAGAAAATAAGGAAGCTTTGCACGGAGTATTTTCGGTCTCTCTGCCAACGAATTTTTAGTTTTTAGTACCCAACCCAATTTGATTTTTTTAATCAAGTTATGACATATTTTGATCATGAAATAATATAAATTAAAAATAATTAAATATTATATAAAAAATTCAAAATTATATTTTAAAATATATTTAATTTTACTAAATTTACATTATAACTAAATATACTTTTAATATTTGTTTTAAAAAATAAAAATACTATATAATTTTTAATAATTAAATGTTATAAAATTTTTGAAATTTTCATTTAAATTTCAAAAATGAATTTCTTTCTTCATTTCTTTTTCATTTTTTAAAAATAAGTATTGCCTTAGAAATATAAAAAATAGATATAAAAATAACAAAAATGAGAAAAATAACTAAAGTCATACAAAATTAATGAAATAAATAGGATAATCAATGGAAATTAAACTCAAATTGGTAAGAAATAACATAAAATTATAAGGAGTGGAGATATTTTACGCACAATAGAGGATATTAATTTACCATTCCTAATTTTTTGAAAAAACAAATAAAGTTAGGATTATTCTAGATAATTTTTCTTTAAAAATAAGAAGAAGTTGTGCATTAATACTCTATATGGTGTGTAAAATGTTAAAACTCATCACTTCGTATATTTATATTTTATTTCTTACCAGTTTCAGGTTAGTTTCTATTGATTACTTTATTTATTTCATTAAATTTGCATGATTTTAATTATTTTTCTCATTTTCAATATTTTGATATCTATTTTTTTAATTTTTCTAAGCTAAGACTAATCTTTTAAAAAAGAAAATGAAATGATGGAGGTAGAAAGTTATTTTAGAATTTTAAACAAAAATTTCAAAAATAAATTAAAAATGAAAACTCATAAAAAATAATCTTAACTTTCATTTTGTTGCGCAAAACAGGTCATTTTTGTAAACCCGTCGTTTGAGTAAGATTGGGATTATTATGCATCACAATGAAAAATGTGATTATTTTTTAGATTTTGTAAAATTAGGATTATTCTAGATTATTTTTTCCCTAATAAATTAACATCATGCTACCTAATTTTTCACGTTGTTTAATAAAAGTTGAAAAAAATGGCCTTCATTTATGTGGATTAAAGAGAATTAATGTGGATCATTCATTTTTCAAAAGGGATAAAACCTTTATTTAAGAACAATTAGAAATAAAAAGTTATATTGAACGGATCCAGTAATTATATTTATATTGTGTCATATTAACAAAAAATTTTATCCTACATGTGATGAACACTCTATTCGCTCAAAGTCTAATTGCAATGTTGCCAACACTTCGTTCATAACAAATTTAACAACTTCCTATGTAAGTGCTATATCCATGTGCGATTTTATGGTTTGTACCCAATTTTGGAATGTAACAAAAAACTAAATATTTTGTAAATTTCAATACATATCATTCACTTATACTTATTTACCGTCAATTTGATAACTCAACTATATTGCATTATTTATACTGCAACAAATTGTTTTCCGTGCAACGCATGTGCATGAATCTAGTTTTGGAACAAAGGCAAAAGAATAGTTTAGGGTTCTTTTTCTTTGAATATATATTTATACCTTCTATAGTTGTATTGTAATTTTTTATATCCCTAGCTTGGTGCCTTTATTAATAAATTTTGATTAATAATACATACATACATACATACATACATACATATATATATATATATATATATATATATATAAAATACATCTTACCATTGATAGTGTCAATTTTTCATATTTTAAGTGGTTTGTTTTAACCAAGAGTAATTATTGAAGAATTGAATAATAGATTTCCTCAAAGGGAAAGTAGATGGGTGTATACATATGGAGAGATCCTAACAGAAACTGGACTCAACTTAGTTTAGAATTTACCTAATACAAGAATCCTACCTTAACAAAATATTACCATAAATATATAATTACTATAATTGTCTAATATCCCCCTCTCAAGCTAAACACCGTGAAACGAGAGGAAGCTTGGATGCCAGAGTCGTGTAGCGTGGGGAAAGTAGTGTTTTTGTGAGGAGATCAGCTAACTGATCAGTTGAAGGAACATAAGACACCGTCATCAAGTTAGTAGTCACATGTTCATGAACAAATTGACAATCAATGTTGACATGCTTCATTCGTTTGTAACACACAAGATTTCTTGTGAGACATAGGGCTGATTGATTATTACCGAAGAGATGAGGAGGAGGAAGTTTGATCTTCAGAACATCAAATAGGTAGGAGAGCCACATGACTTAAACTGCAGTGGTTGAGAGTGCTTTGCACTCGGCCTCGATAGATGATCTGGACACTCTGCTCTGCTTCTTAGTGCTCAATGAAACAAGAATTTGACCTAAGTAGACCAAGTAACCAGTAATGGAACGTCCATCCGACATATCATTTGCCCAATCTGCATCAGAGTATGCTTGTAAAGTTTGTGGGCCTTGCCGAAACACCAAGCCCTTATCAATAGTCCCTTTCACATAACACAATATCCTTTTTAGTAATTGAAAAGCATGTTCCGTAGATGCATGCATGCGCTGACACACATAATTAACAGCAAACTGCATATCTGGTCTAGTGCTTGTGAGATATCTAGTTTGGTGCATATCATTTCATGCATATTCAAAGTTATAACGTTCAAACATATCATAGAAGGGTTGTACCAAAACAAAAAGAGTAATAAGAAAGCATATTATTAGATTTACACACCTAAATAAAAACAAAACACTCCACATATATATTAACCTAATACATGTTAGACAAGGCGTGCAATTCTAGAGGGGGGGTGAATAGAGTTGTTGAGAATGTTTACTGATTTTCGCAGGATTAAATAAGATAAACGAAAGTGCAGCGGAAATAAAAGAGAGAAGGCAAAGAACACACCGATGTATACTCGTTCACCACCTCGTGGCTAGTCCAGTTCCCCGAGAGACTCTCTCGAAGCTACCACTACTTCAGTTAAGCTTAGGGGTGCTTAACAAACCGTTTACAACTCGAGAACTTGAATCCCACAAGCCTCGACACAACCGCTCGTAGATATGCCCTCTACAAGACTTCACAACCAAGACTTAAATCACATAAGCCTTGAACAACAAGAAGAACAATCTTCTTCAACCTCTCAACAATAGCTCTCAAAAGAGTAGATAAGAGAAATGATTAAAGCTCTAATGGATGACAAGAAACCTCTCTTAAAAACAAATATTTTCTCTCAAAATAATATAAATTTGAGGAAGGATTGATGGAGGATTAACACCTCAAAAATGGGGAGTATTTGAGTGTTTCTTGTTAAGAAAAATGACCAAGGAAGGATGCTTAAATAGGAGGTGAAGAAATATATCCGTTGGTCCAAGAAAAGAAGCTGTGCAGAAAAGATGCAGCATAATAATCGATTAATGCAGTGTCAATAATCGATTAATGCATCAACATCAACGATTAATGCAGCTGAAAGAAAATCGATTAAATTAAAGGGATTAATCGATTAGAAGGGTCTGTGTGAACTAATCGATTAAAGGCAAGAGGAAAATCGATTGCACACAAGACCTAAGCAA